ATCACGCTGGAGACCCACCGGAAAAAGTCGCCGGAAAAGTGACGCCCATCGAAATGCCAAAGAAACCCCTCGGAATCCGCACCCCGGAGTGGAGCAATGCCGATTACACCGTAATTGGAGGTAAAGCACTTGAACCCGACCAATTCTCTCCGGAATTGGTTGATATGCTTAAACATCAAGGGCTCTTAGATACTTACCTCGCCATCAAAGGGGATACATACCCCGACTTGGTGAAAGAATTCTACCAACACCTTGTGGCCACCAAACGGGGTGACAAAGTAGAAATCACCACCAAGGTCCGTGGCAAGGAAATTATGCTTTCCGAAGGCCGTTTGGCCAAGCTCTTGAAATTGACCACCACGGGTATGTCCAACTATGACCGGAAGGGGTGGATTGATACCCAAACTATGGGGTACAAGGACTACCTCGGGTACCTACTCGGAAAGGAGGACGGGTTCACCTCGGCCACTCGACCAAACTGAAAGTGGCTATCGGCGGAGCAAAAGATATTGGTTATGATTGTAACCGATAGCCTCTTGCCCACCAATAACAAAAGCAAGGATGTGGGATGCTTGGAGTGCACCTTTGCTTACCTCCTGAAACATAAAATCAAGTTCAACCTGCCGGCACTCATGTTAAAACACATAGAATTCTGCAAGTCAAACAACCGGCTTAGCCTACCCAACGGGATGATCTTAAGTTGGATCATGGAGAAAAAGGGGGTAGACCTAAGCCACACGGAGGTCAAGACCGCAAATGGCATGGTTTTTAATGCCCAAAACCTCCGCCGCAAACGACATCTACTACACCGAAGGGGGACATTACCTCACCCTCGAAAAAATTTGCCAAAAACCCGAGGAAGAGCGAAGGGAATTGGTCGACCGGCTGGACATCTCCAACAAAAAGCTCAAACGAGCCATGCAAGACTGCGGAGATTTGGAGGGACATGAGGACCAGGAGGAGGAAGACGAACCCAACCCAACAGTGCAACCACGATCAGGAGGAAATCCAAGGGAGCAAAACGAGGGCTCAATCAATGAACGCATACTCGCGCAGCTCAACCGACAAAACCAAATCATGGAGGAAGGATTTTCATCCCTGATCCGTACGACACGCGCACTAGATCAGAGGGTTGCAGCGATCGAGGCCACCTTGGGCACTCGCGGGGCATCCAGCTCAGGAGCAGGAGACCAAGGTAGACCTAAAACCCTTCTATCACAAACCACCAGAAACCTAGTCTACCCCAGCTAAGGCAAAAACGTGGGGCCACGTTCCTAACCAGGAGGCCAAGATGCGGGATGCCCGGGGGTGAAAGAGTGGATTAACACACCGGGCTTCGGGGACGAAGCCCCTCATAAGGGGGGGAGAGTGTAACACCCCGTGTTACGACCCCTAAGATCAATTAAATCATTTAATCATTTACCCAAAAGAAAGAATTAAAACACAATAATTAATTAGGAAAGACCCACCATAGTCCACGGGCCCTTATCCCTAAACCCAACCCTTAGTTCCAAAAGAAATAGAATTAGCAAGCTCATAATATTAGTTCCCAACTAGGACTCCTAAATATATAAATAGGGGACTTAAGAGGCACCTAGAAACCCCCCAACAAGAATAACGCCCCACCTCCCCAAAGAGCTCCAAGAATCCCCCTAGAAGAAATCAAGAAAGCAAGAAAGCTTAAAGAAAGACCCTTTATAGCCAAGGAATTAATTAAGGCTAAGAGGTAACCCATGTCTCAACAAAACCTATTTTCATAGCTATGATTTCCCCCGTAGGATTTCCCCATATTATTGTGTATTGATGATTTGTGATGTTATTATTGATGACTGATGGGATAATTCCATGGGTGATCTTGATATCGGGAGATTCTTGATAATTATGGTGTTCTTAACGATTACGTAGAGTTCTTGATAATTATATGTTGTTCTTGATAATTGTATGGCGTTCTTGGTACTTATGTGTTATTTGTACCGAATCTTGTAATTAGAAGACGAATCGAATTCTTGTTGGCATAAAAGTGATTAGAACCCTAGGTTGTATCGTATGGAATTATTCTTGGTATATTGGGTGGGAATTCGCATGATTGGGTGTTTATTATGTTTAGAAAAGCATGATAGGTTATGTGCCGATTGTTTCCTGATTTTGATCCGTTAATTGTTTACGTGTGTTATCAATTGCGCTTGAAAGTGTCCAAGCATGGTTTCGGGTTCCACAAAGGTTCCCGGGGCGTTTCTTGATGAAAAGAGTCAGTGGGGGGTAGGGGACCCGCCACCTACCCGCGGCCTCCTTGGGCAACGCCGGCAGCGGGCAGCCGGCGGGCGGGCAGTTGCCCGCCGGGCACCCGCTGCCCGGTTTTGTTACCGCCGGCGGGCAGCCGGCGGGTGATCCCTCACCCATCGACTACCCGCTGGTTTGCACCCCAATTGGGGATCTTGGCTTCCCCTTTTGATGTTTCCCCGACCCCCGAGGTGTCCCAACGGACTCCGTCTATCGTGCCTATGTCTAGTTTGATATTTCGGGTACCGTTCGTAGGTTGTATGAGTATTATATATTGCATGCTAGTTGAATTGGTATCCCGCTGACCTAGGTGAAAGGAGTATGAACCCCTTAGGACTATTCTTAGCATGTGAAGGATCACGCATAGGGTTTGCTATACGTTTCCTCCCCTTCCCAATATGTTAATGTGGGTTGCATGTGCTTGCAACGTGTTATGTGTGCGTGTCACCCCGAATTGGTTGAGATCAATCGGGCTATACGGGCAGTCGGGTGGGCTGAGAACCATACCGGCTGTTAACCAGGCTGGTAGAGACCGGTCAGGTATATAAATATTATATAGGACTAAGTTCCACTATACGGGCAGTCGGATGGGCTGAGAACCATACCGGCTGTTAACCAGGCTGGTAGAGACCGGTCAGGTATATAAATATTATATAGGACAAAGGTCCACTATACGGGCAGTTGAATGGGCTGAGAACCATCCCAACTGTTAACCAGGCTGGTAAAGACCGGTCAGGTATATAAATATTATGTAGGACAAAGGTCCATCTGTCGGTTGCGATCAGCTCCTCCGTAATGTGAGACGGGGCAGGGTGCTGCGGGGCCGTGTCAGAGCTATATGCGCTGACCCTCATGTATGGGCATGCGATTGGTCCTGTGGCGCCAACAAAGTGTGCTATGTGATGAGATATGGAGGAGTTGTGTTTATGAGTATACTGGGGATGTGACTAAGGGATTTATGCTGGGGATTATTTACATTGGGTTATGATTATTAATTGTGCTCAGCTCTATCTGTCTTGCCTGTGGAGGATTGTATACGCCTGTTATAACTGTCGCTTGTGTCTAGCCTTGTCTGTCGAGTCATTCCCGGTTTTAAAAGCTAGAGTCTCATAGGATATATCTTCATGCTTCAAAATGGTTTTCGTATATCTATATATATATATATCTCTATATGTATTGTATTTCAACGCGTTGGAGTGGGTTACCAGCATCTCTCGCTGAACAGATATATTTGGCTTTCAGGCACAGAAGATTAAGTCACTGGAGTGCGCTAGAGCTTGGAACATAGAAGTAGTTAGTTTCCCTTTCGGCCTGCGTGCCATGTTTATGCATTCATATCATTGAGACATTAGTTAGTTAGCCTCTGCACCTGAGTTCTCTAGCTCAGGTGTGGCATAGCACCCCGTACACTCGTACTCTGTTTGGGATTTAATGAGATTTCACCTTTATTTTATAAGTTTTAAATATCTTGAAAATCTGGGTTGTTACAGAGGGACTCAGTGAGTATATAAAGAAACAATGGGGCACTGACCGCAAAACGTTTCTGAGAAAGGAAAAGCCTAAGAAGTCGCTTCGACTGAGGGACTCGGCGAGAAAAGTTAGGGAACAAGGGCCCAGACCCTTAGACGTTTCCGTGAAAAAGCCAAGAGGAGTCGCCTCGACTGAGGGACTCGGCGTGTATATAAAGAAACAATGGGGCACTAACCCCAAAACGTTTCTGAGAAAGAAAAAGCCTAAGGAGTCGCATCGACTGAGGGACTCGGTGAGAAAAGTTAGGGAACAAGGGCCCAGACCCTTAGACATTTCCGTGAAAAATCCAAGAGGAGTCGCCTCGACTGAGGGACTCGGCGAGCATATAAAGAAACAATGGGGCACTGACCCCAAAACGTTTCTGAGAAAGAAAAAGCCTAAGGAGTCACCTCGACTGAGGGACTTGGCGAGAAAAGTTAGGGAACAAGGGCCCAGACCCTTAGACGTTTATGTGAAAAAGCCAAGAGGAGTCGCCTCGACTGAGGGACTCGGCGATCATATAAAGAAATAATGGGGCACTGACCCCAAAACGTTTATGAGAAAGAAAAAGCCTAAGGAGTCGCCTCGACTGAGGGACTCGGCGAGAAAAGTTAGGGAACAAGGGTCCATACCCTTAGTCATTTCCGTGAAAAGGCTTAAAGGAGTCGCCTCGACCGAGGGACTCGGCGAGTATATAAAGAAACTATAAAGCGCTGGCCCTAAAACGCTTCTAAGAGAGAAGAAACCTAAGAGGTTGCCTCGACTGAGGGACTCGGCGAATGTATAAAGAGTCAACAGGGCGTTGAGCCTAAGTCGCCTCTCAAAGTTAGAAGGGCCCGATGCCTTAGAAACCTCTCTTCGATTTCTAGAATCCTAAAGAAATTAATCGAGTCCAAGACAACGCAAAAGGAAAGAGAAAGAGGGAATTTTATTAAAATTAAAAAAGGCCCGAGAAGGAGGCCAGCCTTTACAAAAGGGACTATCCTAAAAGAATAGCCCTAAACTACTGAGGAGGGGGTGTCGACATCGACCCCTTCAACTTGTGCCCCCGCCGTTGGTCCGGCTGGAGGAACAGAAGAAAGGTCCTCTGCCTGAGGGGAGGACTCAGTAAGATTGGGAGGAGCCGCCGCAGGGAGAGCCACCGGATCAGCAGCTGCCGCCGGACCTTCAGCCGCCGGGAGAGCGTCTATCACCGGCTTAAGGCCCCAGCTCTAGGGGGTAAAAGAGGAGTCGCGGACCAACAGGGCGGAGTGGATTTCTGTCTGCGCCTCGCGGAAGCCGAGGCGATAGTCGCGCTCGCCCAAAACCAGACGGAAGTCGTCACCTTCCGGCGTCGCCAGCCACTCCTTGGCGATCTCCTTCTGCCGGGCCTCTATCGCCGCCTTCACGTCCGCCTCGAAGGACGCCGACTTCTTGTAGTCTTCCGCCGAGGTCGCGGCGATGGTCGCCACTTTGTCTCGCTCCTCCTCCCACTGACGGGTGACCCTTAGCATCTCGGAGTTATGCACCCCCACCACCTTGGCGTGCTTAGCTTGCTCCTCCAAGAAGGCCTCCTCCGTTTGGTGCACTCGAACGGCCATGGACTTCAGCCCGGTCTTGTACTCCCTCAGCCGCCTACTCATCTCCATTTGGAAGGTGAGTTTCTGCAAGGCGGCAAGAAGTCAGATAGTAAAAGAAAAATGAACGAAAAAAGAAGCGAGTCGGAAACACTTACGCGGTATGATTGGCGTAGCGAGGCCTCAATGATGACCTCGTCCCCCAAGCCGCCGGTCACCGAACATCCTTAGGGAGAAGGACGTTTGCAGCCCATTTGCGGACGGAGGAGTTGCCTTGCCAGATCTGGGCATCCTCGTCCACCTCGTGGCTCAACCGGATTTTCTTCGGAGCCGGCGCGTCCGTCTGCTCTGCCGGCCGTTTAGAGCTCGGACTCTCAGATTGAGGAGGGGGCGGTTGTCGAGTCGGTGATACGACGGGCGACGGAGTCAAGTCGACTACGTTTTGTGGTGGTGGAGGAGTCGACCTGGGAGCCGGCGACGGTTGGGAGGAAGAGGCAGTAGCCGTGTTGGAAGCGCGCTGGGTCAGCCGACGCCTCATTTTTTCAGCTCTGTCCGCCATCTCAGGAGTCGGCACAACAGCCTCGTCGGAACTGGTGGAGTCGGAGTCGTACGGACCTGCGAAAGAAAGGAAAGTCATAAGTATTCCGAGTCGGAATGAGATAGAGTAAAAAGAAGCGGGAAAAGAGAGGCAATGAAAACTACCTACGGTGGCCGCACCCTCCGGCAGCAAGCCACGCTTGGCCATGGCCCGGACTCGGGACCAGTACTTGACGGAGTACGGCCCAAAGCCCTTCAAGAACTCGCCGCCCTGGACCGCATCATTGGTAGAGATGGCACGCCGAGAGCAAGGCTTGAATAGAGCGGCCGGCCACAGGGTCGGAAAGGTGAAGGAAGAGAAAGCAGGTCGGACAAAGAAATAGAGGTGTTTCCAGTCCTTAATGGAGTCGGACAACCCCTCGAAAAGCTGTCGCCCCGGACGAGCGGCAACTTGGACAAAGCCCGGCGAGTGTGAGCCGACCTTGTTCACGGTAAAGAGATACCGGAACAGGTCTAGATCCGGCTCGCACAACCACCAATGGCAGAGGTTTATGAAGCAGGTGAGGAGTCGGTGAGAATTGGGCACTAGTTGGCCCGGAACTACGTTGTAATGACGATAAAAAAGGGAGAGAAAAGGACACGGAGGAACTCGGAAGCCAAAGGCAACCGAGTGCAATTGAATGCCGACGCAACCCTCGGGTGGGTCGTAAATTTGCCGGCCTTCTGGAGCGAGGACTACGGCCGAAGGCCCAAGAAGAAATTGGGCCATTTCCTGGTCCGCCGCAGTAACAACAGACGGTGGCCCGGAAGGACGGACGATTGAATCAAACTTGCCTCGCGGCCGTCCGGTGCCGCCCGGCAAAGCAGCCACCGTCGTTAGAGGAGCGGGGCTCATCGGAGTGACCGCCCCCGAAGAAGTGGGGGTCGGAGGAAGAGAAGACGTTGATGGAACGTCTGCCGAAAGTTCCATGCGACGGGGAGGAGAAGAGGAAGACAAAGAAGGAGAAGAAGAAGACGGGGAGGTCGTCGCTGGGTTATCGACCGAGCGACGACGAGAAGAAGAAGAATGAGAAGAGGAAGACATTTACCAACCTGAGCGTGGACTGAGGAAAATGCAGAGAAGAACGGCAGTGCTTGGAGTTGAGTTCGAAGAATTGAGAGAAAGTGAGGGGAAGAGGAAGAAGATGACCATTTAAAAGAGGGAGAAGCCCAAGCGACGGCCACGTGTCACCGCCTCGTTGGAGGAAGCGGAGGTGACAGGATGTGAAGGGACGCCGCATTTAATGCCTCAAAAGGCGGGGCGACGGTTCAGGCCTAGGGCTAGCCTGCAAACGGCGCGTCTGCCCTAGGCTAGGGTCGAACGTCAGTGACCCGGCCTGCTAAGCCGGAAGCCCATTGTAGGCCATGGCCTCTGGGCCCACCGGGTACGAGCTGGAAGCTTCTAGAAAGACCCGGTAGAACCCTGCCCATTAGATGATACAGGTCAAGTTCGCGAAAGAGACTTCGGTCATGAGGTCGGCTATCAGATTTGGCGACTCCCACGCCAAAAAAGTCCCGCCATAAAAGGACCAGGAAGAGGCCACATAGACCGGAGGTCGGTCCAAAAAGTATAGAAAATAAGAGTAAAAGACAAGCCAGAAAACGCACAGTTTATTTAAATAAGTATGGGAAAGTACAAGGCCTAGAACTCGGCCAGATGCAAATTACAAGGAAAGGCGGATCAAGGCTTGGCTTCCTTCTCTGCCGACGGGCGAGCAATCGTAGGGCCTTCCAGGAAGTACTGAGAGCGGAAAGGCAGAGGACTCGGCTCAGGCTCTGGCATCTCGTCCAGATACACGGCTGGCTTCCCGTCATCGATCATTTGCAGAGGCCTCTCTAGAGCACTCGGCGACATGGCGACACCAAAAAGGGGAGGAGCCTCCCACTTCTCTTCCACCCCTGGTTCTGGATCCTCCACCACCGGCTCCATCTCCACATCGGTAGGCTCCCTACACATCAGGTCCAGCATGTCCGGGGGCACCACAATGGGGTCTAAAGCCGAGTCGCCCACCAAACGTCCCCCATTAGCCAGCCTCTTTTGCTTCAGCTTTTCCAGTCGAGCATGCTCCTGGTTGCGGATGGACCAGCGGCGATCACCATCTCTGTAACTCATAGCTCCGTGCCTTCGAAAATGAGGGGTAATTGTGATTTGCACCAACCGTGAAGGGTCCTTATATAGCCCAGTGGAAGCGAATATCTAGGCGGTAATCACGGAAGGAATCGTAACTGACATAACTGAGCCGAATTAGACGGATGACGCGAATCTCTGTCAGAGATTAGTTCCATCAAATCCGCCTGGGAAGAGCGAGATTCGCACGCCGCGTAGAGAAGATTAGATTCACCCGAGATACGGGGAATCTTGCAGATGTCAGATTGAAAAAGGACTGATGATGTGACCGACTCCTTGACTAGTCGTCCGGATGGGTACGCGACAAAACACCAAATATAAGATAGGGCGAAAAATAGCATTTTTATTAAGAAGAAGGGTACAAGTAGTAAGGAGCTTATTACAATAAGGAAAATGAAAATGCTCCTAAAGAATACCCCTCTGAAATATGAGGCCGACTCCGGCCTAGATGATCACTCGCCAGGCGAGGAAGAGCCGCTCCCGAAGGATCCCCCCGATGGTCCAGGTGGAGATGGACAGAACGAGTCCCAGAAGGCTGGCATAAGTGGTGGCACAATCGGCTCCTCGTCATCCGGATACGTCTCCAGGTAGCGGACGTAATCCTCATCATTCATTAGGCCCGTAACCGGCCCGTCCAAGTCATCCAGCGGGATGGAGAAGGTCATGCGGAAAGTTAGTTGCTCTGGAATGGCCACTTCAACGAAGGACCCGTCCTGAGAAGTCACTCTGGCAGTTGTGGGAGTAAGCGGATGGTGTGAAGACGGGGCGACCTTGCGTCGAGAAGGAGTCGGCGGCTGAGGAGCCGAGGGAGTGGCGCCGGCAGGAGACCTTTGGGAAGCCGGGCGAGGAGTCTTCTTTTTGTGCTCTCTTTCAGGACGAGTCCGCTTTGAGGGTAGCGGACACCAGGGAGACCCAAAGTCAATTCGTTTCCCCTTCAGAGGTGAACGACCCATGTTGGACTTATGTATGAGAGGAAGAAAAGGGGAGGCCATTTATAGGTGCCAAGTCAAGTTGGGAGGATCCAAACGGTCCCACAGAATCCGGGAGAAGGGCAGAGAATCCGGGCGTTACAAGGGCCATTCAAGGCACGGATACGGTGATTGAAGGAGACGGACAGTTACTACTTTTCCAAGCCCAGGTTAGCGGATCGGGTATGGAAAAGTGAGGGACTAGTTGATGGGGTGAGGACCCCGGCCCAAGAAAGATTGGCCCAAAGAAGAGAGCCCAAGGCAGGAAAGGTGGGCTAGCATCGGGAGAAGCCCGGAGGGTGCTTGGGCCGAGTCCAGGAATCGGCCCAGGCCCAAGTACGGGGACCTAGCTTAGGATTGCTAAGAAGAGCCCAGCAGGAGCTTGGGCCGAGGGCGAGGAGTCGGCCAGGCCCCAAGCCCAGAGAAAGACTCGGCTCAAGGAGCCGTTGAGATCATCAAAGAGACTCTTAAACAGGGAACCGTTAGGGCATTAAAAGGCCGGACTTGGTCCGGCTGTTACGAGCTTGAGAGAGCCGTTGGCTGACTCAGTAAAGGCGACCAACGACTCGATACATTAATTAGCCTTGAAGTCGGCTATTTAGGGCCTTCAAGTCAGTGGGGGAGGAGCCGCTATATAAAGGCTCCTCCACTCTTGTAGAAGGCAGACACGAAGGAGGACCCGGAGAGGGAATAGAAGAGATTCTAAACAAGCACTTTCTTTCTTTTGACACACATTTTATTGAAAGGTGTATCCTCCAGCTAAAGGTTGTGTTGGACCTCCTTGGGCCTGAAAACCCAAAAACCATCAATACTAATAATAATAAACATTGGACATTATCCCAATCGCGCAATGCGCGTAAAAAAAAAAAAACTAGTAAGCTGATAAATGTAAAAAGACAAAAAATGACATCTTTATAAAATTTAAATTAGTTTGTTTATATATTAAAATTTAACATTTTGTCTTTAAAATAAATTAACATTTTAAAATATTATTATTAGCATAATCATGATCTAGCATCCCATAACGAAGTAGCAATATTGTTGCGAATCTCCTTCATCTAATAATAATAATGATGATGATGATAATAATAATAATAATAATAATAATAATAATAATAATAATAATAATAATAATAATAATAATAATAATTGCGATGAAAGTTGATAATAAGAATAAAGATGTAATAAAAGTTAGGAAGCTACTAGCTTATTTCGAAACGCTACCTAAGGTAGCGTTCCAAAATTCAAAATAAGCTCTTATTTTAAGTTACGAGTTTATTTTGGGAACATTACCAAACAGAGTTATAGCTTATTAGTAGCTTAAAATAAGCTATAAGCTCCTAAATAAGCTCTATCAAACAGACTCATTATCATGTAGCTCACCTCTCTATTTAGGATATGCCGAAATTTAAAATTATTAAAGGTATTTTTTTTATATATACATGAATAAAGAGATTTAAGTTTTAAGATCTTATTATTCATTTAAATACTTTTAATTATTTCAAATTCTAGCAATCTACTAAATAGCGGGGTGATTAGCGTGATAAAATTTGAAAAATTAAATATTTAGATTAAAATTGTTATTTTGTTAATATTTGTGAGATTAAAATTGATATTTACCAGGACTATGTGGTCCAATGGTATCCGGGTTGGACTTCTATTTGGAAGATTATAAGTTCGAGCCTCAGTGGAGGCGTTATTGGTTCTTTGTGTTTCAGTAGGTTGAGAAAGTATATGAACAGATACTACGATGTAATAGAGCCAGTAACTTTAAAAAAAAATTTGATATTTACTTATTTTTTGACTTATACATCAACACCTTTGTTAAATGTGGAAACAAATGAAAGTTAATAATATAAAATTAAAAGAATTTATCTGAACGTGTCAATTTCATAATTGTGATGGTTAAGGTTGAATTTTTGTTTTAATAATTTTCATGGACAACCAAAAGTTGCAATAACTTAGAGAATTTAGAAGAGTAAATACCCAAAATGGTCCCTCGACTATAGCTAAATTCACAAATTGGTCATCGACTTTCAATTTCAACCAATTAAGTCCTTAACTTTGTAATTTTAACACAATTTGATCCTCTGTTTATTTGACCGTTTGTTGACTGTGATTTTTGAGGATATATATGTAATTTCATGGTCCATCGTCGGTTTTTTAAGGTTCTGGTTGCATTTCCAGACCGCACGATTACATTTGAATCCATTGTCGAAAGCAATCTACCAAATCCGGTCGCCTTTCTTCATCCTCCCTTCGAATTCAATGTAGTTGAGTTCGTACCAGAGCGAAGAAGACGACGTGTTTCCGAACAGTGCAACGTCATCCTGGAGGCCTCCACGTGCTCCGACGAGAGCTGAAGGTTCTTCTGGAGATCGTCGATCATAGTCAACAAACGGTCAGATAGATGGAGGATCAAATCGTGTCAAAATTACAAAGTTAAGGACTTAATTGGTTGAAATTGAAAATCGAGGATCAATTTATAAATTTAGCTATAGTCGAGGGACCATTTTGGGTATTTACTCAATTTAGAACACCTTCATTCCTCAATGAGACTTTTTTGAGGAGTTTTAACGGTTGAATGATTGATGAGTTGGTGAGTTGAGAAAAAAAGTAATTAGATTTATTATAACTAGTATTTTCACTCGTGCGATGCACGGAATGGAATTGTTATTGAGGGTAAATATGTTACCGGTAATAATAATATTAGAATAATGTTACGTGAAAGAGTGACAATAGTTGTATTGCCTTAGTGTTTCAGTATAGAAAATACAGTGTGTCCTTTGCTAGCTGAGGAAAGCCCCATTTATACTAGAGTCCTAATGGTAACAACATGGGACATAAATGGGGAGCCTAAGCTTTTAATTCTCTCTCATCAATGGGGGCTTCAATGCTGGCTTCAATGACAGTAAATGAGACACCTGTTGGAATTCTGTCCGTTGAGGTTCTGCCTGTTGGTTTCCATGTGGTGCCGGGTCGGATGCCCACTTGTGATCCGGGTCGGGTTCCAGCCCTATTATCCTGTCACCAGTCCCCCCTACTCCTAGTCAACGGATGTGTTTGAGTTGACTTGGGAGTAAAGCTGAATCTTATTTTGATCCTGTGTAGAATCCTGATTGATTTAGGATATGTGATTTTATTTTCCAAATCCCTGATTTGTGCTTCCCAAATCCTTTCCTGCTTCTAGTCCCCGTGGGAAGGGCCCTTACTAAGTCAATTGTAACACCCTGTGTTACGACCCCCAATTATTTAATCACTTACCCTAAAAAGAGAATTAAAAACCCATTAATCAACTAGGACAGGTCCACCATAGTCCATGGGCCCACATCCCTATAACCAACTCCTTAGTCCTATAAGGAATAGAATTAGCAAGCCCATAATATTTAGACCCCAATTAGGAGTCTTGGGAATATATATATATATATATATATATATATATATATATATATATATATATATATATAGGGTCATAGGAGGCACCTAGATCACACACCACAAATAATCTCTCACCACACAAGAAGTTCCAAGAATTCCCTTAGGAGAAATCAAGAAAGGAGAAATCTTAAAGAAAGACCCTTCATAGCCAAGGAAATTAATTAAGGCTAAGAGGTAACCCATGTCTCAACAAAACCTATTTTTTTCGCTATAATCTCCTTCCTTGGCCTCCTTCTATATGTGTGTGTCTTGATTAAATCCTCTATGTTAACCATGATATATTCTTGATGATTGATAAGATGATTTGTGTGTATTCTTGATAATCTTGATGATCTTGATGATGAAAAGAAGTTCTTGATTTTAATGTGATGATTCTTGACGAATCTTGATATTCCTTGATGTTAAAGATAAAATACGATTTTGATGATTTGGGTGGGATTAGAGCCCTAGGTTGGATTGGGAATTTGTGTTGGGAAGTTCTTGATGTATATTTGGGTGGGAATTCGCATGTTCGGGTGTTGTTTATGTTTAGAAGTCTTAATAGGAGGAGTTCTACGTGATTCTTACTTTTGATCCATTAATTGGCTACGTGGTGCCGTTAATTGTGTTTAAAAGTGTCTAAGCATGGTTTCGGGTTCCATAAAGGTTCCCGGGATGAATATATGAGAAAAGAGTCAGTTGGGGATAGGTGGGGGTAGGGGAACCCGCCACCTACCCGCGGCCCGAAGGACACCGCCCGGCAGCGGGCACCCGCCTGCCCGCCGGCAACCCGCTGCCCGGAACAGTGCCCTCTGGCGGGTGGCCCTCCACCCACCGGCTACCCGCTGGTCCGTACCCCTCCCCGGGTTTTTTTGGCTTCCCCGTTTGATGTTCCCCGTTCCCCATGGTGTCCCAACTGACCCCGTTTGTCGTACCTGAGTCTAGTTTGGTATTTCGGGTACCATTCGTAGGTTAAATGAGTCTTAGGAATTGCATGCTAGTTGAATTGGTAACCCGTGGACCTAGGTGGAAGTTGTATGAGCCCTTAGGATTATTCTTAGTATGTGAATGATCACACGTAAGTTTATTTATATGTCTTTCCCCTCCCAATATGCTATTACGTGCTCCTACATGTTATGTGTTGCATGATCCCCCATTTTGCCTATAGGCCAAATGGGTGGTTCCCGGACTAAGGTTCGGAAGTCGGTTGAAGACCGAATGGGTTGTTCCCGGACTGAAGGTTCGGAAGTGGCTGAAGGCCAATGGATTGTTCCTGAACTAAGGCTTAGAAGTGGCTAAGGCCAAATTGATACACTTCTTGGACTACAGGTCCAAATATGGGCCTCGGTGCTATGACCCACCGGACCTGAACGTGCCAGGACGGTGTGTAGGGCCAATAAGCCGTGGAAGGCTGTAGTCCACCGACCTAAGTAATCAGGCGGTGTGTAGGGCTACGGCTGGCTGCGATGCACCGAATGATGGGACAGCGGTGTGTAGGGCCATAGTCTCCGAGGATCTTCGCCCACCGACTGAGTATAGCTCAGCGGTAAGCCGGGCTTGATCCGCTATGGTCCACCGACTGTGCGCATCGACGGTGTGTAGGGTCGTAAGTCCCCCATTGTAAAGGGGATCGCGGTCCACCGACTGAGTGCGTCAGCGGTGTGTCGGATTGTGGTCCGACGTTGAGTTCGTCAGCGGTTCTCAAAGGGTTGGTTGCAATCAAATCCCCTCATACCACGGTACTGAGGTAGGGTGCTGCGGGGCCGTGTTAATGCTATAAGCATTAACCCTCATGTTCGGGGCATGCGATTGGTCCCGTGGCGCCATCAATGATTACGTGATATGAATGCTGATTGGATGATGATGTGTTTGGAATTGAAAAATGATTGGTGACCTGAAACATGTATTCCTTGTGATACTATCTGTACATAACTGTTTATTATTGATTGATGTGCTTGTCCCTATTTGTTGAGTTTATTCCTGGTTTAAAGTAGTGTCTCTTAAGTATATATCTTCCTGCTTCGAAATGACTTTTCATATATCTATATTCTATATATATCTATCTATAATGTATTTCAACGCGTTGGAGTGGGTTACTAGCATCTCTCGTTGAACAGATATATTTGGCTTTCAGGCACGGATGAGTAGGCACTGGAGCGCGCTAGAGATTGGAAGCGTAGAGTAGATAGTTCCCTTTCGGCCTGCGTGCCATGCTTATGTATTGACATTATTAAGGATTTTAGATAGTTAGCCTGTGCACCTGAGTTCTCTAGCTCAGGTGTGGCATAGCACCCCATACTCTTATATTATATTTTTTGGGAATTAATGTGAATTTACCTTTATTATATAAGTCTTAAAAGTTGAAAAATTTCGGGGTGTTACATCAATTCCCCACCTTGAAAAAGGAATCGCGGTGCTTACCACGGTGTAATTTGTCGCAGGTCGACTTGGTAGTGCCTCGAACTCTTGGTACTTGGGACATCACTTTGTATACTCGGCGCAGTCCCTTAGCATTTTGGGCAAAAAATACCTCTGTAACATGATGCGTCGTGCGATGGTGTACGCCCCTTGGTGCGCGAAGCATACCCCCTAGTGGACTTCTTTCATCACCAACTTGGCTTCATCTGGGTATAGACACCTCAGTAACGTGCCGTTGTAGGAGCGTTTGTATAGCTTATCGCCCGAGACAACGTAGCTGGGTGCCCGTAACTTTGTTACCTTTGCGTCTGCCTCGTCTTGCGGTAAGGCGCCATCTGCCTTGTATCGCTTGATATGGTCAATCCAACATGGCTCCCTAGTCTGCACAAGGAAGACCCATGGAACATCGATACTTGAAGTCTCGAGGTCTTCTAGCCGAGCGATCTTCCTGATGTGGCTGGGGACTCTGGTACTTAGTTTTGAGAGCATGTCGGCGTCGGCGTTCTGCTCTCTTGGTACCTGGTGTATTTCATATCCTTCGAATTCGCGCAAGGTTCTCAGTACCGCGTCTCTGTATTTCTGCATGCTTCCTTCGTTGGCTTCATACTCCCCAGACACCTGGCTGACTACCAGCTTGGAATCGCATCGAATTCGGACCTTTTCAGCTCGTAGTCCTGCCGCCAATCGCAACCCATTGAGGAGGGCCTCGTACTCCGCCTCATTGTTAGATAACTTGAAGTGGAATCGGATGACATAGTAGGCGCGGAATCCCTCCGGAGTGACGAGCACTACGCCGCCACCGCAACCTTTGTTGTTGGAAGAACCATCTGTGGACAAGGTCCACTACCCTCCATCTTCAGTTTCTACCTAGTTCATCACTTCCCGAGCTGTGCACTCCACTATAAAGTCTGCAAGAGCTTGACCTTTGATGGCGGGCCTCAGTTTGAAATCTATGTCAAACTAACTGAGGTGCATGGCCCACCGTGCCATCCTGGCGGAGCTGTTAGTGTTCCGGAGGAAACTCCCCAACGGTTGATGTGAGAGCACGTGGATGGGGTGAGCTTGGAAGTAGTGAGCCAACCTTTTTGATGAAGTGACTATGGCAAATACTGTTTTCTCCAGCACACTGTACCGGAGTTCCGTGTCATGTAGGGCTTTACTTACGTAGTAGATGGGACGCTGAGTCCCTCCATCTTCTTTGACCAGTATGGAGCTGATCGCACCCTGTGACACGCCCAAGTACAAGACTAAGCTTTCACCTGCCTCTGGCTTTGCAAGCAGGGGCGGGGACAACAAGTATTTTTTCAACTCCTCGAAGGCCTTTTGACAGTCTGGCGTCCACTCGAACCCTTTGTTCTTTTTCAAGATTTGGAAGAAGGGGAGGGAACATTCAGCCGATTTAGACAGAAAACGGCCTAAGGCCGCCAGGCGCCCGTTGAGTCTCTGGACTTCCTTTATGGACCGCGGAGGCTCCATGTCAAGGATAGTCTTTACCTTTTCTGGGTTCGGCACAATGCCGTTCCTAGTGACCATGAAGCCCAAAAATTTGCACCCATCAACGGCGAAGGTGCATTTTTTTTGGGTTCAAGCGCATATTAAATTTCTTCATAATGGAAAATACCTCGCTGAGATCCTCGACATGAGAGGTGGCCTTGCGACTTTTGACGATCATGTCGTCCACGTATGCTTCCATGTTTCGTCCCAACACCGTTTTAAACAGCTTTGCCACCATGCGAGTGTATGTGGCCCCGGCATTCTTCAATCCGAATGGCATGACCAAGTAGCAGAATATCCCTTCGGGAGTGGTGAAGGCGGTCTTCTCGGCGTCCTCCTCATGCATGGATATTTGATGATACCCATGGAAGGCGTCCATGAAGCTCATAAGCTCGCATCCTGCCGTCTCATCCACCAACTGATCTATGTTGGGTTGTAACACCCCCTAAAAACAATCTATTTAAAAGTCTTAAACATGCAGGTAACAGGGCTAAACAACAAACACAGCGGAAGACTAAAAGATAACTTAGATAAAGATAAATCCAAGTCATGGGGTGTTATGTCACGTTCACCAAAAAGGATGAACGCTACGGCAATATCTGCATTGTTTACAACTAATCCATAGTCTCAAAAGTCTACAACTAAACCGGCACACAGGCCATAAACAAGCGGGAGAAGCTACGCTAACAGGCACTAGACTGCGCACTCGCCTAGACATCACCTGAAAGAACACAATAAAACATGGGACGACGCTCGGTCAGCGAATAATGCTGGTAACCCACCAATACATGTGAAATATCATACATAGATAAGATATAAGTTGTAAAGCCATTTTCGAAACGGAATACATATATATAAGTACAAAACCAAGAGCAATAGTCAACACAAGACTCAACACTCTCAACAAGGATACGGGAACACATCCCAAACCACAAAGGATAACCACAACACAAAGGATAAAGACAAGACCGATGGCAACACGTGCCTAGGCAACACATGCCCTTGTGACTACACACGTCACAAGAAGAGAACTCACAACAACGACTACACAAGCCCTCGTGACATCACCCATCACGAGTTGATATGCCTTCCTTATGCCCGGTTCCAACCTTATGGCTACCCCCAACCTTGTATCTTCTTCCAACCATTACCTCCAGGACCCCTGTACTTCTTAGTCCAACCTTTTCCCTCCTGGGACTGTCGTCCCCCACCAATCAACCACCAACAAAACCACCAATTTCATAGTACACGAGGGTACCGTACACACACACGGCAACACATGCCACCCAAGAATGACGTGAACCTTACACAAAGGTCACAACTCCATAATCACGTCACGGCCACCACGAGGACCGTTGCAATACCTTGGTAAATAGTGTCCCATACCACAAATCGTGCAATCTAGGTAAAGCCACACACACATCACACCTCAACAGGAATCAATCAATGGATCACAACGAAGATATGAAACCATACTCAATCAAGGAATGGATCACAGTCCAACAACAACAACGATGAATAACACAAGTTATCATCAACCAAAAGGAAGGTACAAACAACACACATGCTAGCAGTTAAACACCAAACTAGCATGCTTATCAAACGGGTAAACCAAAGGTAGTTCCGAGGAACACACAAGACTCATCACGGTTCAACGAAACACAATGTTGAACACTTAGCACGATTCAAGACACCAAAACCTACATGGATCCATACCATATAGTTCTAGACATATGAAACATCAAGAAGACACTCAAATAGTTCCACAAAAGAACATCGGGAAGTCAAAAGACCAAATACCGAGTCAAAAGAATCACGGGAAACAAATCCCCAACAACATCACAACACGTACCCGCGGGTAGGCCCACGGGTAAGCCTCTACCTGTGGTTCCGCCCGCGGGTACAGGCTCCTTCACATCGTGTACCATGCGGGTGGGCGGCGGGTTGGACCTCTACCCGTCGTTTCGCCCGCGGGTACACCCCTGTACCACAATACAACCCTTCGCGGATTTTCTTCTCCAAACTCAAATTCAAGTCCAAAACATGCCAAATCTCACCAAATACAACAAAATGACTTGAATCAAAGGAAATGCCAAGCAATGGCACACAAGAACCCTAAACACAAGCTCTAGATATGCATTTTCACAAGACAATGCATAAACACTCACATTTCATAGCAAAACACATGTAGAATTCAAGAAATCACATATAGGTAAGCAAAATAGATTTTGTAGAGCATGAGTTACCTCTTGTAGACTAAAGACTTCACTTTACACCTCAACAAGCTCCTCACTAGGCTCACCTTCCAAACCCACTTCAAGAACATACCGAAAGATCATAAAGATCCTATCTTTAAGAAAAGACACCTTAGATAAAACCAAAAACACAAGATGAACTTAGATCTTACCCTCCTAGATGCCCAAATACAAGAAAGGTTGAATCTTGGAAGCAACTCTTGAAGTTTTGGCAAGGTTCCAACTTGGCTTGGAAGAAAAGCTACTCACCTTTTAGAGAGAGGGTGGAGCTAGATTTTTAGAAAAGTGTAAGGAGAGAATGAAGTTGGTCTACTAGGTTAGGTTACATTACCAACAACAAGTGAAATGTCAAGAATACCCTTACTAACATAAGGAAGTGTAGGGAACAAGGGAGCTCCTTACAAAGCTCAATGTACAACTTTGACTTTGGGGTTGACTAGTCAATTACTAGTCCTCAAGTATTGAATTTTCAGGATTTTAGGAATTAATTCACCAATTGAAATAGGATTAATTACTCAATTAATCCATTAATTGAATTTGGATTTCGGGGTGTCACATCCTCTCCCCCTTCAAAGAAGCTTTGTCCCCAAAGCTTGGGTACGACGAATTGAAGGCAAACGATGATAGGAAACAACATTGTGATAAGAGGTATAAGAACAACTCTTTAGGTCAAAGACTCCCAAAAGAATTCACAAGAATTTCAAAGCAAGAAAGTCTCCCAAAGCAAGGAAGAAGGCATTTTAAATCACGGATTGGCAAGAGTTTAACAAACGGATGAATTGAGCATCAAGAACTCTAGCCCAACACAAACACCAACTTCTAGACAACAACTAAGAACTAGACAACCAACACCAACTACCAAGCTACACAAACAACAAAGCAACAAGCAAAACAAGCACAACGGTGAACACGGACAACCACAACACAAGCTAGAACTCCTCACTCTCTGACTCCTCGGCCTCCTCAGATTCTTCATCATCTTCTCCTTTGCGGCTTGAACTGGCTTCAATCTGGTATAGCCTCTGATTCACTGCGACAAACTGTGTCTTCATGTAGGCGAAACCCTCCTCGATCATGCGGTTCTGCTGACGAAGCAAGGCGAAAACATGCTCCTCATGCATCATGGAGTTGTGCTCCCTCTTGGTGCGGGCTTCTCTTCTTCGTTGGTTCTCTTCACTTTCCGAGTCACTTTCTTCGGCATCGGCAGCTTCCGGTGCTTCCACTTCTTCTTCTTGGCCTGCTTCCTCCTCAACCTCTTCGTCACCACCCAAACTCTGGACTGCGAGGCTCAACTTCTCGACATGAATCCCAAGCTCCGTTGCCAACTCGACCCGTTCTCCTGGTGCTTTCCTTGCCACTTCTTCCAAAGTGATGTAATCACCATCATCTAGCTGAAGCAAATTACAACTCCGAAGATTGGAGGCATCCAACACCAACTTTCCCACGGTCTTTGGAAGACAACCATCCACGCTTACACCCTTTCTAACCAAAATCCAGCTCAACACCATCCCTACGGTACACTTTTCCGGTTATGATCCCGACAGAAAACCATATGCTGCAACATCAAAGCTGGCAAGTTGAACTTAACCATATTCTTGAGACAGAAGGCAAGAGTGCACTCCAACTTTCCCAACAACTTGCTTTTGTTGTTATTAGGCAACAAACAATCCGATACCAACATCACCAAAATCCGTTGCTCCGCGGACAACTTTTCCTCCGGCCTCGAAGCTTGAGTGAAACCACTCGTACGGCCCAACAGATAACTCAAATAGTCTCGGTACCCCATGGTATCTGTACTAATCCATGAATGACCACTGTACTGAGCAACTCCGGAAGCAGTAAAACTCAAAAGCTGAGCCAGCCTCTTTTCAGATAACACAACCTTCACACCTCTCACTTTAGAAGTGATCTAAAGCTTATCACCCTCCTTTGTCACAACCATGTGACGATAAAATTCCTTAACCAAACTCGGGTAAGTCTCGACCCTTATGGCGAGAAACCCATCCAACAAACCTTGGAATCTAAGCATACCCAACAAAGAATCAGGAAAAGATTCCGGATCAAAAGCTTTACCTTCAAGAACGAGGTAATGGGTATCCACCCATTCCGCTTTTCTTGCCAAACTTGACCTTCTAGGCAAGGTTGAAGATGACCCAAAGCTCAACAAAAAGGACCCAAGGCTTCTCCTCTTTCTCCTCTCTCTCGACGGCTCTCACTCCCTCTCTCACTGCTCTCTCTCTCTCTCTCGGCCACGCAGCTCCGGCGGGCGGTGAACGACAGCAGCGATCGGTGAGGCGGTGGCGGCTGGCTGCTACGCCGGTGGTGGGGTGGCGGGTTGCTAGTGTAGCGACGGGAGGGGGGGGGGGGGGGGGGGTGGGCGCTCGGTGGTTCACGGGTAGGGAAGAAGAAGAAAGGAAGAAATTTGGGAAATTAGGGATTGTGGAAAAGATTGGGGAAAAGATGATTTAATTTGGGGATTTGTGTAAAGTGAGGATTTATAGTTTAAATGGAATTAAAATTAAGAAGGTTTTAAGGAAGACAATTAGCTTAAGTGGTTTAGAGGTTGGGTTGGCAAAGAATAGGCTTGGGTTCGAAACTCAAGGGTTACAATTAAACATTTTGGCTTGACTTTAAGCTACACAAGAAAAGGATTTCTGGTATGGATTTACTAATTACAACTTTCAAAGAATGCTTGGGAAGATTCAAAGGATTTCTAAAAAGGATAGTGTCAAGAATGACCAAATATAAGGATTGTAAAATTGTCCCAAGCACAACTCATTTCAAAGATGGATGGCTAACTCCCCAACGAAACTTATATGCCAAACTAAAGAAGTCACTTAACAAGAAGAGTTTACACCTAACTCCAAAGGAATTACTATCAAAGGAAAAACATGCCAAGTAACTCATATAGACAACAACGAAACACAAGATAGCATTTCAAGACAACAAGGAACACGATATTCGCGAAAAACAAGGATAGGCTAGGATAGGATTACCTGCCAACTCCTCCTCCTCCAAACCCTCAGATTCTGCCTGCGAACGCCCCATCACGAAGACCGTCCCTGGTGGCCTAGCTCCAACTGCTCCACGACCCGAACTACCTCCCTGGGCTCCTCTGACTCCC